TGGTCCGCGCGTTCAGCGAGGCCGGGGCCGCGGCCGGGGCCGGGGCTGGGGCCCGAACCGAGGCTGCATGCCGGAGGAGGAGAGCAGTGACGGGGAGTCCGAGGAGGAGGTGAGGCGGTCGGAGGCGTCTCTTGCGCGGGGTGGGGCGGAGGCCAGGGGCTTGCAGGGCTCCGGATAGCTCCGAAGGGTGTTGTGGACAAGTGGGATTCTCGGGGCTCTTGGAAATAAATAAGCATGAAGGAAGCAAGCTGCGCGGAGCTTTGGGGTGGCTAGGGCCTTTGAAAGTGGTCCGAGAAAACCTGACTGCAGCTAGACGCCTGGGCTCCAGGCAAGCCCTGCTGGTGTCCTGAGCTGATCTTTCGCGGTAGCAATGGCAGAGCAGGAGAGGAGTGGGTGAAGAGGCCACAGGGATTGCATGCCCGACCAGTGGTGGTTGACAGCAGCAGCGTGGCCTTAATGGACCAAGGCTAGAGCCTCATGGGCTCTTACTTGCAGGCTGCCTTTTGGGGCCTTATAATCCGCGACACATCCCTGGGTTTACCAGTGTCCCCGTTGCTCACTGGTTCTAAGGTAGAGTGGAGACTTCTGGCACAGGTTGAAGAGGGATAGACTGCTGCTGAGTCTTGAGTCGGGAGTGAGTGCAGCTCATGATTTATCCCTCTCAGCCTTTTGGAAAAGGAGGAGTGTGTGGATTCTATTGCTTAGGAGAGCTAGTAGTCCTCTGAGGGCTCAGAGTGGATTCTAATATGATAAACCATCTGCTCCACCTTTCATTCCCCACCCCCACATTCCCCATTCCCTTTTAGGAGTGCCCTAAAAGGGTGTAAATGAAGGACCTACTTTGTATTAAGTTGGAATTAGCCCTCGTTATAATGTCTACTGCTTAACTTGAGGAGAGCCTCGAGTGTTGTCTTCTGGGCCAGAGAACCACTGGTGGCTGTGCTGGTGTGGTCTGGTTCAGGAATGCATAGTACCTTCATTCCCTCTGACCTGGCCTCAGTCTTGTGAGTTCTTTGCTAAATAAGCAGGAGTACGTTAAGGTGGAAGCTGAGTATTATATCCTCAACACCTGAAGCCCAGGTGGAACCGGGGTTTTGGCACTGACTGCTGTTTCTCCCCTTCACCCCTGGTCCCCTAAATCAGGAGTTTCAGGGTTTTCATTCAGATGAAGATGTGGCCCCCAGTTCCCTGCGCTCTGCGCTCCGATCCCAGCGAGGTGAGTGATGGGGAAACTCGACCTCTCTAGTGGACGGGGATGCTCTGGCCCTTTGTGTCAGCTCTTTGGTGTTCACCTAGTTTCCACCAGGGACTGAGTGTGTTCTGTGTTCAGAGTCCAAGCTAGCCTGGGCCTTGGGGGACACAGACAAGGAAGACTTAGTTCCCTGCCCTTCTGGGGTGCTTTTATTAAGTCCTCAGGGCCAGCTTGACCCAACTCCCCACAACTGTTCTCCTTTTAGGTCGAGCCCCCCGGGGTCGGGGCCGAAAGCATAAGACGACCCCCCTTCCTCCTCCTCGCCTAGCAGATGTGGCTCCTGGCCCCCCAAAGGCCCCTTCTCGGAAACGGGGCGAGGAGGGCACAGAGCGGATGGTGCAGGCACTGACGGAACTTCTCCGGCGGGCCCAGGCACCCCACGCCCCCCGGAGCCGAGCATGTGAGCCCTCCACTCCCCGTCGGTCGCGGGGTCGGCCCCCTGGACGGCCAGCAGGCCCCTGCCGGAAGAAGCAGCAAGCAGTAGTGGTACCAGAAGCGGCTGTGACAATCCCTAAACCTGAGCCTCCACCTCCTGTGGTTCCAGTGAAGAACAGAACTGGCAGCTGGAAGTGCAAGGAGGGACCTGGTCCAGGACCTGGAACCCCCAAACGTGGAGGACAGCCTGGGAGAGGAGGCCGTGGAGGCAGGGGCAGAGGCCGAGGCGGACTTCCCCTTATGATCAAGTTTGTTTCAAAGGCCAAAAAAGTGAAGATGGGACAATTGTCCCAGGGACTAGAATCAGGTCAGAGTCATGGTCAACGTGGAGAAAGCTGGCAGGATGCCACCCAAAGAAGAGATGAAGATGAACAGGAAGGGGGCTCTTGTTGGAAGAAGCCAGAGCAGAAACTGGAGGAGGAGAAGGAGGAGGAGGAGGGGGGAGAAGAGAAGGAAGGAAAAGAAGAGGACACTGAGGACAAAGAAGAGGAAAAAGAGGAGACTAAGACAGCTGTGGCTGAGGAAGAAGGGATGCCAGTGAAAGAGAAGGAAGAGTCGAAGCTGCCATCACCACCCTTGACTCCTCCAGTCCCTTCACCACCACCTCCTCTCCCACCCCCTTCAGTATCTCCACCTCCAGCATCCCCTCTGCCACCCCCCGTTTCTCCTCCCCCACCATCCCCTCCCCCACACCCAGCCTCAGAGAAGCAAGAAGAATCTCCTCCTCTTGTCCCAGCTACATGCTCTAGGAAGAGGGGCCGGCCTCCCCTGACTCCTAGTCAACGGGCAGAGCGGGAAGCTGCTCGGTCAGGACCAGAGGGCACCCTTTCTCCCACTCCAAACCCCAGCACCACCACAGGAAGCCCTCTGGAAGACAGTCCTACTGTGGCCCCCAAAAGTACCACCTTCTTGAAGAATATACGGCAGTTTATTATGCCTGTGGTGAGTGCCCGTTCCTCCCGTGTTATCAAGACACCCCGGCGATTTATGGACGAAGACCCTCCCAAGCCTCCAAAGGTGGAGGTTTCTATTGCTCGACCTCCTGTTGCAACGTCCCCTCTTGCTCCCCAGGAGCCAGTACCAGTCCCCTCTCCACCTCGTGCCCCAACTCCCCCATCTCCCCCAGTCCCGCTCCCTGAAAAGAGACGGTCTATCCTAAGGGAACCCACGTTTCGCTGGACTTCACTAACCCGGGAGCTGCCGCCGCCCCCGCCTGCTCCTCCACCAGCCCCATCTTCACTAGCTCCATCCCCACCACCTACCCCCGCCACTCCCTCCCGGAGGCCCCTGCTCCTTCGGGCCCCTCAGTTTACTCCCAGTGAAGCCCACCTGAAGATCTATGAATCGGTGCTTACCCCTCCTCCTCCTGGGGCTCTTGAAGCCCCTGAGCCAGAGCTGCCTCCTGCTGATGACTCTCCAGCTGAGCCTGAGCCTAGGGCAGTGGGGCGGACCAACCACCTCAGCTTGCCTCGATTCGTCCCTGTGGTAACCACTCCTGTTAAGGTGGAGGTGCCCCCCAATGGGGCTCCAGCTCTCAGCAATGGGCAGCAGCTTCAGGCTCAGCTCCAGCAGCCCTCACAGGCCTTGCAGACCCAGCTCCTGCCCCAGGCACTACCATCACAGCAGCCACAAGTACAGCCACAGGTACAGCTGCAGCCACCTCCCTCACCGCAGCACACACCACCACTGGAAAAGGCCCGTGTTGCAAGTGTGGGGCCGCTGCCGCTGTCGGGGGTGGAGGAGAAAATGTTCAGCCTTCTGAAGAGAGCTAAGGTGCAGCTATTCAAGATCGATCAGCAGCAACAGCAGAAAGTAGCAGCTTCAATGTCGGTGAGTGGGGTGCTTTGAGCAGGCCCCTGCACTCAGTCTGTGCAGCTGTCTCCCTAGACAGTGTTGGACCAGTGTCTCTCCTAGACGAACACTGGACCAGTTCCCCTGTATGTCCACCTGTTTGTTCCCTAGTCCCATCCCTTCCCTCTCCTGTCCCCGTCCCCACGGGTCCTCACTTGGCAGCCTCTAACCCTGTTTTTTCCCCCACCAGCCAAGCCCGACTACAGTGCAAATCGAGGAGGCTGT